AAAAGAGTATAAATAATTTTTTATGCTTCGAATATTCGTATAAACTAACTAACGAAATGATTTTTTGCAGTCGAAAAAGATATATGCCCCTTTCATTTAAAAGACCATCCTAAATATCGAAGCCTGTTCTTTGATTAGAATTGCTCGTGCATTCTTTCTTTCTTATTTTTTTCTTTTCATATTTTTTTTTCTCTCTTTTTTTTTTAAAGTGTCTCGTATTTAAGAAGCTATAATTTTTCTTCTTTTCTTTTTCCTCTCCTTGTAGTTAATAAAAGTCGTAATTCGCTGAAGTCTTTCGAAGTTCAATTTATTTCAGACGAGGATATGAAGAAGAAGAAAAAGAAGTTGACCCTAGGAACACTTTTGTGAAGAGGAGTGTCCCTTATACGAGTGTCAAAGGTCACATAATTTCTGGAATCACTTCCATACCACCACAAAGCAAAAGATCCATATGGCACGATTCTTGTTTCTAGTGTCTAGTGGTAGCACACACGCACGCACATGCCTTTCTTTGTTCCGCAGGTGCGCGTGTATACAAATTGGAGTAAACAGTCTTTTCGACACCCACTTTAACTCGAGTGGTTGTGGGGGCTTTTCAGGAGTCCTTCTTGGAACTCCGATAACGTTGATTTCATTTATTGAGAAGAATTTTAAGTGAGTTTACGAACATGTGGTTTTGTTCTGCTTACCCTGTTCACTAACTTTGAACTAACTCGAAAACTAAACACAGTCGGACCTCTATTTAACGAAGTCGCTAAATCTCGATCAAAAGTTCGCTACATGGAAAATTCATTAACACTAGATTGCCCAAGGAAGTCATTTTGACTGCTTTTAATTTCAATTAGAAAAACAGTGATGTATATAATGACACAATTTCTTGGAATTTTGTACAGCATATAATTTTTTTATTGTTAATATTTTCTAATAACTTGTCATATAACTGTAAACAATACAAAAAATATTAAAAATTAATTATAATCTAATTTCTTTACATATTATTTATTTTTTTACAATCCAGTCATTTTCACTGCTTTTGGGCAATATAGGTGTATATTAAGTTTCATAAGTTTCGGTCTTTCTAGTGTTAAATGGAAAATCACCATTCGAAATGCTTAAACAATGCAAAACGGGTTTTAAATACATAAACACTAGACATAATTAAAACAGCGATTGATGGCCCTTTATCTTGTAAACTAGTATCTACTATTTATTTCATAAATCTTAGCCATCAAAGAAATCTGCATGGAAAGCAAGAATAGAGCAAGACATTATCCAGTGTTACACTATCAAGTTACATACATTTTCAACTAAAAAAAAGCTAAATTTATGTAAACAATTATATCTGCATTTATTATAAAAGTAATTTTAAACATGCATTACCGTATGCATTCTTAAGTTTAATTGCTACTGATAAAGTTAGTTTTGTCTGAGTTTTTCGTTTGAAATGCAAACAAAAAGAGAAAGATATTTTACCGCTTTCTCTAAAAGTTAAGTGGCTGTGAAAATCAATTCAAGGTTATTTCCCCTATAAAATGAGTAAACAAGTTTGAAATTTTTTTCGATATAAGGAAAGTGGTTCTCCAAGAAAAGTTCGTTCATTAAATAGAAAATTCACTTGCTCCATTTGGAAGTTACTTTATAAAGAAATTTCCAAAATGTTCTTGGTTCCTCGAAAAAAAAAATTGCAAAATGGAGAAATTCGTAAAATGGAAGTTCGTTAAATAGAAGTCTGACTGTATATTGAACATTGCAATAGAGATTCAAGCAAAGAATCAAAGAAATAAAAGAAGAAAATGCACAAAA